TTTGATAATGTTTATAGGTTTGCTGAGTGCTGATCAGCAGCAAAACGCAAATATGTTGCTCTTAGAAGCGGCTGCTGCTGCTACAGCTGCAGGAACGATACGCGACCTATTAGGTTCATTTTTCTTTCCTTTTGAAAATTGGTATGGTTTTTTTTCTTCTAACACTTCTAAAATCACTTATTGAGAGTTTATATGAACTTATGAATATGAGCATAAAAAATTATTTCTTTGGCTTGTTTACTTCCTGGTGAAACAAACTCTAAACTGCATAAAATATAACGAAATTATAGGGATTACATCCTCAAACGGTAATGAAACGACAGCAGTCGATATTATGAACAGCAATAAACCAAAATTATCCTCAGTTCCTTCAACGTCTGCTACAGCTGAAATAGTTGCTACAAGTACTCCAAACATATTTTTTAATGATGATGATGGTGATGGAGCCAACAAAAAACAAGATCAGCGCTTGGGGGATCGATCTTCACTCAATGGCAGAGCAACATCTGCTGGCGAAAATGTCGTTAATATGCTGAATGTTGGTCATTTTTCATGATAAATTTATTTATGCTGTTGTTTTTATCTGAACTTTCATCCTTGTAATTGTATGTTTCTTTCGATAAGTAGTGAAAAATCTCGTTTTTTTTTTGAAATGCTTCTTTTCCTCACTTTTGTAGGAGATTTCCGACAACGAAAACCTCTAATTTCATCTTTTTCATATGTAATATCCACTGTTTACATTTGTTGCAGTTGGGTGATGCAAAGCGTCAACCGAATAAAGCAGTGAAGTGCAAAATCAGTGATGTAAAATTAAGCGTTAAAAGGCGAGCAAATGAAGAGGTTCGTCTTTCTTTTTTCTATAATGTTTTGAATGTCGTGTAGTTTTTTCTTTGTACATCTGTTTCTGATAATCCAAATATCATCAGAAAAATGAAATTTTCGGGATGAAATAATCTTTAGAGACATAAATTTTTGTCGATACCAGTTCTTTTTTTAAGTCTCTCATTTTGATCGATGCACTGATTACAGACCCTGAGCAATGCAGCACGTGCAATTACCAAGGAGGAAAAGATCGATTTGGATGAACTGGAAAATTTTGCCCAAACATTCAAAAAACAGCGCATTAAATTTGGTAAGGTGTATGACATCAGTTTTAATGAACTGTCTGCGGTAGGTAATTTTTTTGAAAGTTATGACATCATCTTAGACATCAGAACACTATAAAAAACAGTAATATTTTTCCACTATTCACCATCATAAAGATGAATATCGATAAGATTATCTCAGTGGAAAATGGAAATTTTTGATTGCTTTCTGGAGTACCTGGTAACTGTACTGTTTTTTTTGCAAGAAATTAAAAATCATTGGATTTGGTTGTTGTAGGTTTCACGCAAGGTGATGTCGGTCTTGCTCTTGGACGCCGTTATGGGACTGACTTTTCGCAGACAACTATATCACGCTTCGAGGCGCTAAATTTATCCTTTAAAAACATGTGCAAATTACGGCCATTGCTCAAAGAATGGTTAGAGGATGCGGAGGCGGCATTGGCCAATGGTGCAACAATTAGTGATCTTTTGGATGCACCCTCTAAAGAGCCTACTCCACAAGTTCGTTTATTGCATTTGTTTCTGTTGCAACATGTAATGCTTGCTGACAGAATTCTTCCAAGCACCAAGACATATTTTCTGCATTATGTCTAATTTGTAATGTGCTTCAAGTCTTCTGGTACTTTGAGTCTCTTTTCAGAATGTTTATTATCAACTGTTGCTTTTTTCGTTCATCGAGATTGCCCTTATTTTCAGTGAATCAAAATTTCAGCCTTTATATTTAAGAATTCTTATTTCTAATACATATTTTAATCAATAACAGATCTGATATATTAGTTGCGCAATTTTTTTTCGGTAAACACTGATGGATATACGGTAACTGTTTTTTAGAACATCTTAAACACTTTTTTCTTCAAAATATTCGGTAATCTCGGGTTGTTCGTATCTGAGTTTCAGAAGAGATATTCTGATATCTTTTTTTTTTTTTTTAAATTTCTCATCAAAATGAAGTATATCAGAAGAGATATATGTTTATCAATGAGAAATCTTCGAGAGCATCACTTCTTATCCTTCCATTTAAAGAATTTACATAAAAAGTTTGCTTAGGCTTGTAAGGCAGTTATTTGAATTACTGCAGTGCTTTTAACAGGAAATTGGAACTACAGCTGAAGAGCAGAATGATTTAGAGAAAATATAGTTTATAAAGAAAGCTTTATAACCTTTAATTGATAATACGAGACATTTCTATATAGTACGGTTTATGAAGAGTTGGTAGAATAGGATTTACAGTAAGAAAAATGTAAAATTTCTTGTTAATCTGAATAGCAAAAATGTGAATAAGAACTAATGAATATTAATGAGCAGGTTGTCAAATTTGCCTTAAAGATGATAAAAGCTTCAGTGGATAATTCTTAAGATATGATTTAATTTTTGAGGCATAAGGGGATATATATATATATGAAAAAAAATAAAGGAATGCACGAAATTCAGGCAACCTACTGACCAGAGCTCAGCAGATTGTCTGGATTTCGTAAATTTCTTGATGTTATGAGAACTAGAGTTCTAATACTGCAGAGAAGGAGTTTTTATATTTTTATAATTTTTGTCATGTAATCCACTAAAATAGGCAATAATTTAAGACGGTAGAGATTTTTTCAATTAATTTGATTAATTACTGATAACATTCCCGTGGTTGAAGTCAAATTTTTTTTCAATAATATATTATAAACATTCATTCTTAATTGCACTTTTCTGTTTTCTGATTTAATTCTTAATATATAGTATGCCTACGTTTACATTATAAGTTTTTTTTTTTTTTTTAAACAGTTTTGCATTTTATGCTGGATACTCCGTTGAAAAAACATAACATTAGTTTACATCAAATTTCTCATACTTCTTAGTAAATAGTATTCCAAAGCATAATGTTTTTTTCTTGCTTTTTGTTTTACCTTTTTCTAATTGTCAAATCATGAAAATTATAAATATAATAGCAGTAATTAAAATTCTAAAAGAATTATATTGTTAGGGTGGAATATTTTTATTCGAAAACTAATCTCATGATGATTGCATTCCTAATGATGTAAATATTGTTTTGAAGAGATGCTTTGATAGCTATGAAATTGATGGAAATTTTTTTCAGTATCCGACATCGGTGATACATTTACCACTGAATAATAACAAACAGAGTTCTATAATGAACAATGTATGCAGCGGTAATAAAATGCCAAGCGATGAGTCGCCATCACCAAATGGATCTATTGTGTGCAGTTCAGGTGCTGGTGGTGGTGTTCCACTGAAAAAGCGTCGAAAGAGAACCAATTTGGATCTTGCACAACGTTCTGCACTGGATGCTTATTTTGACATGAACCCACGCCCGGACCATGATAGGATGGCGGAAATTGCAGAACTGGTAGGGTTAGATCGAGATGTAAGTTATTGTTAAATGCTACATTAACTCAAATCCAGTTCATAATTTTTTATAATCATCTTGAGGATAGCAGCCGTTTGAAGTATAACTTATCGTAATGGCTTGGTATTGACCTTTTCTAGACTATATTAATTTCTCTTTTCACGTTGATGTCCTATAAAGCTTCCATTTTCCATTGGAACTGACTTATTTATTCCAGGTAGTTCGTGTATGGTTCTGTAATCGACGCCAGAAACTTCGTAAAGAATAATAAGCAGTATATAAGTTGTGCAGTTCGATCCATCCTCTCAATTTCAGTATCACGCTACGATTCGCTTTTTTGCCTTTTTTGCCTCAGAAGTCTTTCTCGATACAGAGTAGTCATTTCCTCGTTTTTTTTTTCAAATTCTATTATTCTTTGACTTTTTGTTCAGGTAAAGTAATTCAGCGGGTTTATTGCGATTTGCCTTTTTGCAACTCATTCTTTCACTTTTTCTGGTGGGAATGTACATTGAAAGCTCTGTATTATCCATAGAAATAAAATTACAAGTTTGCGACTTTTGAGATTTTCGAACTATAAAATTTGCACAATTTTTCAAAAACATGACGTTTAAAATAGTAAATTTGTATTTTAAGATATATCTTTTGTAAATTTTATTTTTAGCCTCACTGGTCTTTTTTAGCCGAACGAGTTCTGTGCTTTTTTTAAAATCGACTCTCTGTCATCGCTATTCTTGATTCCGTGAAATTTTCTTTTTCTTTTCATGTGCCTTCTGGATTCGTTTTTCTGCGTTTATATTCATTTCTTATTGCTTAATCTACTCCTCTTTCGTAGCATTTTATTATTTAATGCATTTTTGGCAAAAGCGCTTCTTTTTCTGAATATTTGGTTCTATTTCTACGTGTGTTTTCTCTCTTATTTATCATACCAAATGTATGCATAGTTGTCTCTTTCTCCAGGTCATATTGCTAAGAACTGTTGATCTTTTCATGTGATTAGGGTAGTTCTGGTACCACTGCATCCAGTTAAGTTTCTCTTCCGGTATAACATTGCTCACTATTAAATACAGATTTTGTTAACAGAACGCTCTTGCATAAGTAATTTCAATTATCCACATCTTCTCTCACTATATAGTAAGTTTTGGTTCTTTACTAAGTATTTGTTTTAAGTATTTACGGATTTCTTACTATCAGCCATATTTGCAGGATAAAAATAATATAATTTTTGTCTCTTTACTAAATCCTCTCTCAATACTCTCTGGATGCGGTTTATTGATTAGTGTGACTCGAGTTGAAGCTAATATTTCATAACCTTTTGTATAAGAAATTATAACAAATTTATTTGTTCATTAATGAAAATTTCGGAACCTGTTAAAGCATCTGAAAAGAGTGCTGCTCACATAGCAATATAGGCTTTTAATATTTATTCATTTAGCATAAAATTATGCATTTTTAAAATATATGTTCCATAGATTTTGTTCATTTCAAATTCAACAGATATGCTGGTATTCAATGAAAAGATTGTTTGCTGTAATGAATGTGTACCAATTTTGTATGTTTTCGTTCAAAATTCACTGATGAATTAAGAAGCAAAATTTTTCTTTCTGGATGGAAAGTTCGGTATTTTGAGTTTTTATAATATTTGCGATTTTGATTCTTGAATTACACTTCTCTCCTATTTCTTATCAAAATTAAGACATCTTTTTCTTAAGGCTCGAAAGATGCAAATCGGTACTTTTATTTTTAGTTTGAAATGATGTTCCGTAGAAAATGATGGCAGGAAGATGCGCATAGGCTTAAAGTTTTATTTAATAACCGCTGCTTTGTACATTTCACAAATCATTTTTTGGCAATTATAATTTCATAATTAATGCAAATTTATTATCAGGTTATGAATATCTGAGATATATACA